TGGAATTTTAACTTTTTCGCACTGGAGGAAGTTCGATCGATCGAATCTTGAACTTAGATCGATCGAAAGTAAGTGAGATCGTTCGAACTTAGGCTGGATCGATCCAACTGGCTGAGTTTTTTGGAAAAAGACAAATCCGAGATATTTATGGGAAATATTTGTGGGAAAAGGACAAAAGTGGTTAGTGGGTGGTACAGCTGTGGATAGGATCAATCATTTGAATAAAGACAAAAGTGTTTGATCGATCGAAGGATGGTATTGGATCGATCGAACTTTTGGAACTTTATGCTTTTGGGTCAAGGCTTGGATCTATCTTGAAGTGCTGAGATCGATCATTGTTCGATCGATCGAACCTTGAACTTAGATCGATCGAACTTTGTTGCTTGCCACCTTTGGCTTCATTTGTTTCCTTCTTTCTCCACTTTGCTCATTTCTTTGTTTAATCCCAGAATTGCTTCAATTAAGCTCTTATTTGGCTAAGTTAGCTTATTTTCGGGATAAGTGCCTGAAAAAGGAAATAATACGAAATCAATCTAAAACGGTAAAGTAAGATAGATAAAGATATTAGAATGCCTAAGATTAAGGGGTTTAAATACGCACTTTTCAGTACTTATCACCTGTCGCGTTGACCGTTCATCATCCAACAAGCGCTGGAGATTTTCTTTTTTAGCCATCAAAGCCTCCCGCTCGGTTTGCATGACGTTCTTCTCACTTTGAAGAGCATTTTTCTCATTCTGAAGGGAGTCTGCATCCTTCTTCAGAGTGTCTCTTTTTTTTTTCAACATTGTTCAGCTGCACCATCAATTCAGCGTTCTGGGTGCTGATAATTTTATTTTCTTTATTGGCCACATCAAGCCCATTGGCAAGCCTACGTGCTCGAGCGTTGGATGACTCAACATGCTTTTGCATCGTCATCATTCCGAACAGAGTCTGCAAATAAATGCACGAATACTAATTAAGCCGAACGTATATTCAAAGAAGGAAGAGTATGAGGGCTTACTTAAATTAATCAAATAAGGGGTGAAAAATTACCTCCATAGCAGCCAGAGGAAAATAGCTAAACGTTTCCTTCTGAGTCAGTGCTTTAGCCACTTCAATGTCCTTAGGGGACCACAAGTGCTTGTAATAGGCCAAAGCGATCTGACCCTCTTTGAACATAGTTTCATTGGACTTAACGACTGACCCATCTGCTCGGATAAATCGTGGAGTCCATAGAGCTACTTTAGAAGGGGAAGAGGAAGCTTCACCGGGCCAAGGGGCGGCGGTAGTTTTGGTGTGGGAGGTTGTGGATGCACCCACGCCAGTGGTTCGGATCCTCCTTGACAGAGGCACGCCGTCCTGGTTGGACTCACTATTAGGTTGGGGTCATTTCCCACGCTCTTTGTCAGGAGCAGTCACAAGGGCATTGGAGGGGTTGTTTGCCCTTGGAATAGTGTTCGGATTGATAGGAGGAGCACTGACGTTAAGGCTAGTGGCAGCCCTGATGTTCGGAGTGGTGCTGAAAATAGTGGCAGAAGTGGATGCCGAGGCTGGAGAAGAAGCCAGGGCAGGAACGGTGACACTCCTAGGAAGGTCTTTCCATCTGCTGAAAGAGGGGATCCGGATCTGATTCATGGTGGTGCCGAGGAGTGAAATATATCTGAGATTCTCGGACACAAGGAGTTCCGAGCAAGAAGGAACGTTGCTCAGAACGTATTCCTTCAGGTGGTTGACCCTATCCCTGCAAATGTTATAACTAAGTTCGTTATGAGAAATACCCAAAGAATTGCAAAGAAAAGAACAGAAGCGAGGAGTGCAAATTTCACAAGGGCAATCGCTCTTGTGGTTCTTGAATCTTTTATAGGAAGAAACAGAGCATTCACTGAAGGCGTTCGGGATAGGATAATTCTTGGCAGCCGGAGCAAACCAAGCCCCCTGAACCCCAATTATGTTCTTCTTCCACCCTTTCTCAGAGTCAAGTTTGTCCGTACAAATGGGTCATTTCTCAATAGGGTAAAAATGATAATACATGTCATCCAACCTGATCTTGCTGACTTTGTAACAGAGGATGAGATCTATAATATCAAGATCCAGACCACTGTCACAGTTCAGGAGTAGCAGAACGGACAGAACCCTAAGAAAATTAGGGTTAACTTAAAGAGGGGAAAGTTTCAGTCTATTAAAGACGTAACAAATAAAAGGGTGTAAAGAAAATCTAATGATATTTAAATGAAGGAGGGATAACAAAATTTCACCGGGAAGAAGGCCGGCACCAGTCCTAATATTCACATTCCTGGGACACTCCCTAAAAAGAACGTTGTTGGGGAGTTGGAGTTTCATGCGAAGAATATCTAAGTCGATGGGCATGGTGAAGATGAGCAGGGCCCCTAAGGAAGCGTATAAAGTTTTTAAAGAAAAGAGAAAGGGAAGCAAAACTAACCTCAAGAGGACTGAAGATTACAAAAGATGCTGTTAAGAAAGAAGAATCTTTCGCAGGAGTTCGCCAGGGAAGATTTGGTTTGCTTGTAAAAGATGAACAGTAATTTAATTGACAGTGAGATATGATAGAGACAGTAGAGAAGGTTGAGAGTGCGGCTTAGGGGTTTATAAAGAGTAAGTGGACCCAATAGCCGAGACGTCAGGAAAATGAAGAGATTTCAAATCTCAAAACATCGGTTCCTGGGCCGACCGCTCACTTCCCACAAAATCGTCTAGAGCCGCAAAATCATGATTAGCTACCATTAATAATCACACCCTAATTAATTAGGGAATGATTATGAGGGCAGTTAAGGATGCCAAAAACGGCGTAGGTCGAATACGGTCCACAAGATAGCAATGGGCCGAGTAATTGATCCTGGTTCGAACCAAGCTCTCGCAAGACAGGCCCAAGATTGAAAAATTGTTCCAAAAGTCCACTAAAAGTAATTAAGCCCATAACTAGAGAGGCCCGGAGTGTGGACCCAACACAAGAAGTTAGTTAGGTAACTTCTAGAAAGATTGTAATAGTCTATACATAGACGGAAATTAGAGGGAAAAGGGGTTGGAAAATCTTGAAGTGTAAGAATATTCTTTCCAAAAAGAAAAAAATATTTCTTGCATCTTCAATAAATAAAAATATAAGACAACTTTCAGTGCACCAAATAGTCCAATCAATTAAAAGAGTGAAAAAAAAAAAACAATAATAAAAAGGAGCAATAATTCAATGAAGAAAACAAAAAAATTTAGAAAGCCACTTTTTCTTCTCACATTGCAAATAAAGAATAATCACGTAAACAAAACTTGGTGAATTTAAGTATGGGTTTCAGTAATTTTTAAATATTAAAATAAAATTTAAAGGGAGTTTTAGTGAGGGAAACAAATCATGAAATTCATTTTATTTGACAGAATTTCTTTTTGTTGCTAGATTATGAAATTTAATCATACTACTTTTCTCTTTCCGCTTGAAATTCACCCTTAAAATGTACAATGGAAACAAAAACATCCATCTTTTGTGACATTTGGTTGCCATGTGGTCCATTATGTGAAGTGATTACCAACTTTCCAAGCAATAGCTTTCAGTCCATTTTTTATTATTTTTTTTTATTTTACTAATTGAGTATAATAAAATATATTTTTTTACTTTTACTAAATGAATATAATAAAAAAAACAATATTTTAAAATTAAAACTGAAAATCAGAGTACGCATTTGTTGAGTGTAGTAGAATTGTGAAGAATACATAATAAAAAAAAGTTTTCAAAAATTTTAAAATATGAAAAGTTAAAATAGAATTAGCAAATGTATTTTGTTGTCGTTTTTAACAAGAAGACAACAAAAATTGGAAATATTACCGAACAGAAACTTGAAGGCACACTGTGAACCAAATGATGGATGTAATCCAAGTGCCCAATTAAAAAGTGACAGCACATAGTAGCCTTATCCACAATACTTTAGATTATTGTACGCCTCCAGTTGCAATTGGGCTTCAGCTTACTAGTGGTCTGTTCAGAGTTGGCTTCCCAGACTAATTACTACTCAATTCTCTTCGAATCAAAAGAAACAGAGATGGTGAAGCGGATTGTACATTTCAGCCATTGGCATTACTTGACAGAAACGCCAGAGATACGGCATCTATGCTTGCTTAGGTCGTTTAGCAACAAACCTCATCCCCTGATTCCATTTCAGCTGATAAAATGAATATCATCAAAGAGGGCCTTAAAGGCACTCTCTGAACCAAATGTTGACAGAAAAATAAAATTATATTTTTGCCCTCGAGTTATACGGCGTCCTGGTTACTAGTGTTATCCCATGGGTTTTTTTTTTTTCAAAAAAAAAAAACTTGGTGTGATCCCATTTCAGCTGATAAAATGATAGATGTAATTCCAGTGCCCAATAAAAAAGTGACAGCACATAGTAGCCTTATCCACAATACTTCAGATTACTGTATGTCTCCAATTGCAATTGGGCTTCAGCTTACTAGTGGTCTGTTCAGAGTTGGCTTCCCATAGTAATTACCATTCAATTCTCTTCGAATCAAAGAAACAGAGATGGAGAAGCAGATTATACATTTCAGCCATTGGCATTACTTGAGACCCGACCAACAGAAACGTAAAGAAGGGGATCAAATGACTTGCAATGGTTGCGAAAACAAAATCTCGGGTGATTTCTATGGTTGCACAAAATGCAAACATTACGTTTGCAAATCATGTGTTGGATTGGCGCAAGAGATACGGCACCCCTTTCACACCAAACATCCCCCCACTCTTTTCGCTCAAACACCTTACGAAGAATCTAGGGATCCTGATCATCAACCGCCTTATGGTCATTCGGTACCTCACTGCAATCCCTGCGGGATGAAATGTGACGGCTTCATTTTCCATTGTTCTGAATGTCAATTTGACCTGCGCCTTAATTGCGCTACGCTGATGCCCACCACCAACAACTACAAGAAAAAATATCTTTGCACTACGCTACGCTGCTTTTTCTTAATTGCGCTACGCTGATGCCCACCACCATCAACCGCCTTATGGTCATTCGGTACCTTACTTCTACAATTTGTTTTTTATTTTTTTATTTTATATTTTTTTTTATAAGAAAAAATACTTTAAAACAATAAATTTACATTAACATCCTGCAATATTACATTCATACTTCAAATGATGGTTTCATGTGTCTTGTGCAAATTTTGTTTCAGTTACATTAACAATGTGCTAGAGCCAAACTCTTTAATTTTTGGTTGCTTGTCAGATTCTTCCTTTACTACGGAAAGGGTGGCCCTTGGCACTACCACATGACGAGATTGTAATGGTTCAAGTAAAGGTATATGTACTGAACATGAAAAAAAAGTCGCTTATGGATGAAATTAACCAAATGTATGCAGAAGCTTTCACTGGTGATTTTGCCGGTAAGTTCTATACTTGGTCGTATTAGGATAAAGTTATCATTTTTGTTTTTGGACATCGTTGTGTGATTGGTATGTAATATGATTTATATTTAGTTAGAATTATATTTAGTTAGAGGACTTGATGATAAGAATGGTGCAGGATAACAGAAACCGAGACAACAAAAGCATCAAGCTATCTGAGTTCTTTATTTTTATGGCGCTGATTATTGTCCTGCCCTTTTCGAACTAGCTTCAATGGATAAAGAGATTGAAAGGCTTGAAGCAGAAGTAGATGCAGTGACAAAGGAATTAGAGACACTAACAATAAGGTTGGATGAACTTAAAGAGAGACCACCACAACATCTAGGTAACTATCAAATTGGTAAGTTTTATTACACTCCCTTCTATTATAAAAAATTAATCATGTTACGTTGTTGAGTATGTGAAGAGTGAGTAATACCTAAAACTATAATTTGGAAAATTTGATGTTGTAGGTGTTCATGTGTTATGACTGTATACTTTAATAAATAATTTCAAAAAATAAAAAAAAACTTGTAACAAGAAAAATCATAATTGATTGTGCTTTTAATGTTGTCTTGCGGCGACCTCGTCAACTTAGACCTCACCACCGATCTGAATCAAATTTCATGTTGTCTTCCCTTGTCATTCTTTCATAATACTTCAGAATTTTTCTAGAAAAATAAGGTGTCAACATAAATTTTTTTTTTTCAACATTTGGTAATGAATGAAACATTATATTTGTTGTAGAAGGAATGAATTTTGCTTTCTCTGATCGATATAGATGATATTTTCAAACTCGTACTTCAATCGTAATAAGAACAATATCCTAAATCACTTGTGTGTATAGTGTGTATGCTCTCAATGAAAAATACTAAAAAATCTTACAAAAATGGCTCTCAATTAAATTAGAATTTTGTATGCAAAAAACAGTGAAATTCTTACGTGGGAAAACATGTTTTTATAGACTTTTGAAAACTTAATTTAACGTCAATTTCTTGCATGACCAATATAGTAAGATTCTATGCATGACCAATATACGGTCGAATCTGAAAAACTGTCAAATTTTGGTGTGAAAAATAAGAAAACTAGCAAAAATCAGCTAAATTCAAGTCCGGTTCAACCTCTACATAACAAAAAAATAGACGGTCTTCCTATGCGCTAAAAACAAAGGCAAAAGCAAGGTCCTAAAAGATGATTCCAATTGGTAATAAGTCTCCTTAAGTTGGGCATTAAATTTCTCCATTAACTTCTTTGTTTGGTACGTACTATGTGAATAGCAATATAATACAAATTTATATAATTTTTTCAGTAATTCAATTTAAACTATATTTAAAGTCTTGATTAATTAAAATATAAAAATAAAAATAAAAAAATGGAAGGTTTGTATGATAAAGCTATTTGTGAGGGCCTTTTCAAACTAAATGTAGCTTTAGAACTATTTAACGATATGTCTCTTCCACTTAAATTATTTTTTATTTTTAATTTTTTTGAAAGTTCTCTTCTACTTAATTATTGAATCTCTTGATGTGTGGCATTTTAATTATTTTTTCTTACAAAGACTAATAAATTTAGATTTAATTTCTAAAACATCTATGAAAAGAATTATTTATTTGACATGTGTATGAAATCAAATATCTCAAGAAGATCATTTAAATTTTTTGAATGATCAACGGAACCTTTGCAAATTTATTCATAGTGAATTGCGTGATCTTAAAAATATACAAAATATTTTATTACCTATGTAGATTATTGTACTCTTTTTGGCCTAGCATACTTTTTACTTATTATGAACCAAGGAAAGCTTTAAGCAAATTTAAACTATTCAAAGCACAAGTAGAAAATAAATTGAAGAAAAAAAAAGAGAATAAAAATCTATTGACCAGAAATACTCAATGAAGTGTGAGAGGGTTTAGAGCATATCCAGTGCTAAAAACTATTTTCGCATGTCAAATCTATATTTTGACAGGTGCTACAGTGTCAAAATGTTACATTTTAGCAATTTTGCTCTAATGACGCATTCTATTCAAAATTCTATTTTTTAACACAACCACCATTTTTTTTTTTCAACTACCATTCCCAACTATCATTTTTTGATAGAATATGGAAAAAATGTAAAAGGAACTCATCAACCAATTTGCATAAAGAGACTTCAAAATTAGAACTTCATTTTTGTTTTGTTTTGTTTTGTTTTTTTTTTTTTTTTAAAAAAAAAAAAAAAAAAAAAAAAATTACAAGTCTCAAACAAGTATAACTAATGAATACTTTTGCTTGGCTTTCATTTATAAGAAAGAATACTTCCATTTACATGCATTCAAGAAAATTCATTGTATCTTATGATAGAAAATCATCATAAAAAACTAAAAGATAAAAAAAAAAGTTCATATAGTAAGTCCACAATAACTCACTGTAAGTTCGTTGCTTTTTTTTTTTTTCACTGAATGGCTTGTTTTTATAAATATAACAATAATAATACAATTACACAAGGAGATAAACTCCAATACATAAATAGGAATGGATACATTTCACTCCTAGCAAAAAGACATCAAAACAAACCAAAAGATTAGGAAACTTATTAGTCTAAAAACCAAATCTAATCAATACATGAGCAGGCAGCTTCTCTCTGATCTTCAAAATATATTACTTCAGCAAGCCTTTTATCAAAACCACTCATATAGAAACATTTTCTGAATGTGCAGCAGAAAGCTATACAATCTGAATTGTCGTCAATTGCAGATAGTCAACAAATCTTCCAATCTAAGATTGAGATATGTTAGCATATACCAAATATAATCCTGACAGCATATTCATAAGAGTCTTTTCTGCTATTGTGTAATGTTAAATTTCCACTTGACCAAAAATTTCAAATTGTAAAAGCAAATAAAGCACCCAAAACAGACTTCATCAGGTAAATCAATCTGGACAGCCCAAGCACCATTATGAATGATATTAGATACCATATAATTTCTGTCAATGTGTCTAAATTGTGTAGCCCCACATCAACACATAAATACAAGTCATAGATGTAAAAATCATAACCGTAATTAGATTCTTTTGAGCTTAAACCCAAGAAATCCCTCTCCATTTTAGTTCAATTAGATATAAAAAGCATACAAGTTTGAAAAGAAAAAAAAAAAACCAACTTAAATTTCGAGTCAAAACCCTCTAATTTTTGCAAATCAACAAATATTGAATTGAATTGAAAATTGCAAAATACATATACACACACATGTAAATCAAATCAACACAAAACATATGCACAGAGCGAGAAATCTGGATCCCAAATACAAAGCCCGTGTCGAATTTTAGAATGAAATTGAAAATTTTAAAATCAGAAAGCATACATATATATATATATATATATATATATATATATATATATATATATACACACATGCAAATATATAGATTTCATACCTATTGCTTCCTTCTAGAGTTTCAAAGCGATGGAGGAGTGGCTATGGTGTAGGCGAGTTGTCTATGGTTTGAGGAGAGAATGTGTGGTGTAGGAGAGAAAGAGAGGGAGAAAGGAGGGTAGGGCTGAGGTCGAGCTCTGATCGGGACACTGGTGGTAGGGTTTGATCGAGAAATAGCAGTCGTTCTCTTCTCTCTCTTTGTCGTTAGTCGTCGTCTGTTGCCGCTTTTCTCATCTATCTCTCTCTCTGTTGCCCTAGAATATGAGCGAAATAGTAGCGGGTTCACAAATAGCAATTGCCATTTCTTGTGCTACAATTGGCACTTGAATTGGCAAAGTTAAAATTTGGCAGGCGAAATGATAGTCCGTTGGAGAGCCCATTTGAAGCCCATCTGCTATATTTTACAAATAACAACCCAAATAGCATTGGGTTGGAGATACTCTTTGGTTGTTGTGCTGTCCCCAATCCAAAGTTTGTGCACCGAAAGATAGTGGTGTAGGGCTATGATGAATGTGATTAAGTTTTACATTTAGAAATTGCTACTACTACCTTTCACTAAAAATATAGTTAGGGCGAGTAGGGACCGTCCTAAGGAATTGGTGGGCCGTATTTGGTTGTGGAATCGAGATTAGGGTTAGTAGGTCGAGTGATCAAAAGATTGGTTGGTAGTTGAATTACACTAAGATGCAATTTAAACTAAAATAGGCAATTGCATGTAATAGAGAGAAAATAAGAGAGAGATCTTGGGATTTAGAGATCACCACTAAGCATAACTTTTCTAAATCCTTAACGAATGATTAATGAGGGGGAAAACATGTATCGCAACATAATGTGTGTGTGTGGTTGTTTCAACAAGCATGGATGACAAATTAAGCATATATTGTCTAAGTAACATGGTGGATAGCACAATATATCAAACCAAGCCATTAATCATTTCTTTAAGCTCACAATCCAAACGCATTACAAGGTTAGAGATATATGCTACATGCTTTCATAAGTATGGAACATCAAACAATAAGCATGGATTGTCATCTCATTTAACACCTAAACTACAACTACACTACAATTAAGCTAATGACATGAAATTAAACTAATTAAACTAAGGGAGAGGTACAATCTATTAAGAAATGAGTATGAACCATCAAATAAACCACAAGAGCATTCCATTAAGCACTATGTCTTGACAATCTCTAGATCTATGGCATTAATACACATAGACATGCATCAATAACACAAGAAATAGAGATAAACATATGAACATCTCTTCTAGCATACATAGACATATAGATAGAATGAAATGATCAATTGGAAGCATTAAATCACATAAATCATTGAATAAACAAGATCTATGTATATAAATATGTCAAAACATCTATCACAATACAAATCCCCTCAAAAATACATAAATCAAGATATAGAAAACATGCTTAGGGTTAACTCTAGCCCCAAGAGGATGTTTAGCCACTCATGGATGGTGTTCTCCAACCCTCAAGGGCTAACTCCATGGTAGAGATTGGAACTCTTCTTGGTTGATGGAAGAACTCCAAGCTTGTGTCTCTAGCCTCCTTTATTCTTTTCTTCCTCCCTAAGAATATATAAATTGTGTCTCTAGTGTATACATCTCCTCTTTTTCAAGAATGGCTCATATTCCTTATATAAGTAGGTTGAATATTACCCCCAATGAGCTAGGCTCGTACACCAATATTCCTTCTAATGATTGGATATGAGACAACTTTTAATGAGTTGGAAATTAGATTTTCTCGGGTTTTGGAAAGTTCGATCGATCAAACTTGTGGTGAGATCGATCAAATATGGCTGAGATCTATCAAATTTAAGCTGGATCGATCCTCTATGGCGGCGCCTTTTTGGATAAAAACAAATCTGAGATATTTTGAAGATATTTTTAGGAAAGAGACAAATGTGGTAGGTAAGGTGGTACAAGTGGATA